CACCATTAAAAAAATTCCAAGGATACTCCGGCAGAAACAAATTCAGATTGGACTGAAGCAACTAGACATCAATATGCAGCATGGATGGTGCAGAACATTTAGCGGAATGAATTTGCCTTCATCGATGAGGCTGGTATCAAGCTGTTAACGAAGAGAAACTGATGAAGAGCGTTGTTCGAGTAATGCAGGGTCGAAGGGGACTGAACCGCGCGATGCCATAGGGGCCTAATTTGCTGTCAGTGACGAGAGTGGCCTGGTCTTTCACGACTTTCAAGTACAAGGAATGGCAGCTTTCGTTTCAACCCATCCCTCTAAAAAACTGTTCCAACAATCACCACAACAAAGTAACTTTTGTATGTAACAACGCTCGTGCACAAAGGCAGGCTTTAAATGGCAACTCATCAATAGATTGGGAAAGAAATATTTACCCCCCTATACGCCTTTTCTTAACATCTATGAGAACGCTTGTGAATTTGGAAATACGATTTGAAACCGTGGCTCGGTGAAGCAAAAGACCAAATATGCTCACTCAGCTGACTCATTAACAAAGGATGGTCACACTTGCCCAGATGATGGAGCAAAAAACACAAGCTGTGACTATTATGAAAATGGAAGCAGCCTTCAGATCAGTGCAAGCCTGTAAGCCATAGCGTTTTGTAGTGCAACAATAAGTAGATAAAAGTAAACTTGGCTTTAGATTTTACTCAGTTAGTTCTATAATATACCTGCAGTATCTTGATTTGGATCATAACCATTTGTTTCTGTTTTAACATGTAGGTTTATTTTTGTTTTTTAACATAATTTAATCCTTACTTTCGTTTCACATGATTTCTTCCTTGTGGCACCACACGGCTTACGCCTAACTTTTTCGTGGCCTAAAAAAACAAAAACGTATTACTTCTTACCTTGATACTCCTCTTACACTCTTACTCTTAGCCTCCTTTTTATAGGTTTTTTTTTCAGATCAAATGTATAAATAAGAAATACAAATGCCACATAGCAAGTTCAATTGCCACATAGAAAGTTTTACGCCACATAGAAAGTTCATATGTTCAATAGGACATTTTTAGTGCACAATTGTGCGTAACAAATTCAAATGTACAAATAGCAAATTCAAATGTAACACAATAGCAAGTTCAAATGCCACTTAGCAAAAGCAAATATCCTCCGCAAAGATTATTCAGCGTGAAAGGCATTTTAATGTGCTCAAACTGAGTTGACGACAACCATAAGCAGTTTAATTTTAAGGTGAATTGATCACCATTATAAAAATTCCGAGGATGCTCCCACGGAAAGTAATTCAGACAGGACTGAAGTAACTAGACATCAGTATGCAGCATGGCTGACGCAGAACATTTAGCGGTATGAATTTGCCTTTATTGAAGAAGCTGGTAGCAAACCGTTGACGAGTAGAAACCGATGAAGAGCACAGAGTGGTCAATGCTTTGTTTGAGTAATGCAGGGTCGAAAGGGACTGAACCGCGCGATGCCATAGGGGCCTAATTTGCTGTCAGTGACGAGGGTGGCCTGGTGTTTCACGACTTTCAAGTAGAGGGAATGGCAGCTTTCGTTTCAACCCATCCCTCTAAGAAACTGGTACAATAATCCCCATAACGAAGTGTGCTTTGTATGTAACAATGCTCGTGGCAGGCTTTAAATGGCAACTCATCAATGGATTGGGGAAGAAATAATCTACGAGAACGCTTGTGAATTTGGAAATACGATTTGAAACCGTGGCTCGGTGAAGCAAAAGACCAAATACTCACTCAGCTGACTCATCAACAAAAGATGGTCACGCTTGCCCAGATGATGGAGCAAAAAAACACAAGCTGTGATTATAGTGAAAATGGAAGCAGCCTTCAGATCAATGCAAGCCTATAAGCCATAGCGTTTTGTAGTGCAACAATAAGTAAATAAAAGTAAACTTGGCAGATTCGCAAAACGGCCTCCTGCACGCTCTTCGCGGTTCAGTTGATCCCATATTATGAGCGCTTTTAGACACATGTCGAGTAGCTCACAGATCAGTCCATGATATTCATGTTATGATCTTCCAGAGACTGTGCTGTTTGTTACAAGGGCAGCGTGAGAGCAGAAATGTCAAGTTTTATGACTGAGATGTTCTGATTTTTTCCCGTGCTGTTGTGAACACAGTGAATACGGTACTATTGTCGGGGATTCGTTAATAGCAGTTCTAAATATGGCGTTCTTGATCTGAGTCTGGACAACTTCTCGGCGCCTCACAAAGATGGACGAAACATTTTTACTTACTACGTGCATGCCTTGAGTTGTTACTTTTGCAAGAAGGAAACAATTTCCCAGATTTGACGCAAAATCTGTCTGTCATGAGCAGGGCTGGCCACTCGAGGCTGTCCTATTCTTTGTGTATCCTGGACATTGCAAGTGTGCTAAAATCTTTGGATAAATTGACATTCAATACACGCACTGCATTGCTGCTTTTTTTTAAAGCACATTTTCCACCTTAGAAAAGGCGGATGCAAAACTTGCGTTTAGATTAGATATGTTGTGGCTTCCGTAATGAAAGAAAAACCAAAACTGATCGCAAAAATATCATAACTTTTGTTTGGAAAGAGCCACTTATAATCTTTTATGAGAATTAAATTCTTTTCATGAATAATATTACTCCTCATTAATACATTTTACCTAAGCTGTGCTGTGATTAAAAGTACTCGAGAAAGTAACCAAAATTGTGCATGTTCGTGTACCGTCTCCAAATATCTGGCTTTCTTGTAGCCTTTTAAAAACGTTGCGTTTTTGGCATTGTTCCGTACCTGTATAATACGGCCACCTGTACAGTCATTTTCCATGTCGCCAATTTCCCCCCTAGCATTTTAAATTCTATTTCATGGTGTGAAACGGGCATATGTTCAACGCCTCCGCTGCCACCCTATTTTAGCAATGATCAACCGAAATTACCTATCAAAGTCGGCCAGCCGCAAATCTTGCATTGTCCGACGTATAACCGTAAATTATGTTTTGGCCCCTGAGGCTGTGGACAAGTCGTCATAATCCATTCACCTGTCGCTATTGATAGTCGCTCCAATGTCCAATCATGTTGTGTAAGTCCCACTTACTGCTTTTTACCCAATTTGACTATCCGGTAACAATACATTTTCAGCTGCTGATAAGGAAAGCCTGTGGTCCGTTATTACCTAAAAGTAGTAAAAGCCCCGCATTCAACTCACACATAAATCATAAGTGAGGTGACCAGTCACTGTTTACCCAGTCTTTAACAATGTAGATCTACGTGAACATGGACTTGCAACAGAAGCGTTGCTTGTTATCCAGGTGGTGGCGACCCGTTTGTTTATTTTACCTTGTTTTCCTTGCCTGACACATTTCGTTTTGTTTTACCCTTGCGTTCACAAAATATTATATTTTACACATTCAGATAAATACAGATTTTGATGGTGGCATCAATGTAGACATGTAACCCTTGTACTGAGCCTGCAACCCCTCAAATTTCCCTTACCTCTCCCCCC